CATCTTTACTTTCCCCACAATGGGAACCTGGCCAGTTCTATAGCTTTAATGATACCTAGATACTGATGGCTACCAAGTTTATATCTCCAGCCTTGTCCTTGGAAACTGGATAGCTTGATTGCAAGGAGTTGGCACATTGAGAAATGTTGAAAAAAGAATGTTGAGAAAATAGAGTCTAGTTGGATTCTCTTTCTTTCAGTTCTGAAGTTATATGAGCCTCTGATACTTCTAGATATAAGATATACTGTTTATGGCTAACGCTAATTGTTAAAGCCTTTTTAAAACCACTTATCATTTGCTGAGCACCTGTTACATGGTAGGTATTGTGCCATGTGTTTTATATACATTATCTCATTTTATCCTCATGGTTCTGTGGGGTAGAATTTAAGAAATAACAAGAAACCCCAAGCCAAGACTTAGAATAACAAGTTGTCCATGTTGCTACATCTAGGTGTTAGAATTAAGATTTGAAGTCAGGGATACCCATGCTCTTTCTGGTACGCCCTACCACCTCCATTTGCATTTAACATAAATTTTAGTATTGGCTTGACAATTTCATGCACACACATACAGACACACAAACCCAGCTGGGATTTTCATTGAGATTGCACTGAATTTATAGATTAATTTGGAGAGCCTCACTATCTTAGACTATTGAATTTTCCAATCTTGAATTGGTATTTCCCTCCATTTATTTAAGTCTTCTTTAACTTTTTGAATAAAATTTTGTGGTTTTCATTGTGAACCAGCAAATGACTCACCACAACCCTGATGGGGCCGGGGACTTCCAGGGCCAGAAACTAAGGCAGACGCTTGATGGGGGAAAAGTGGAATAAGGGAACTGCGAAAACATGGGCAAAAGACAGGATTAAAGGTCCCACTAAGGACAGCAACAATTTCAAGGATTTCAAAGTGGACAGCAATAGCCGGGTGTATAATGTATCATAAAATGTAGAGCGCAAACAGCCCTGTGCCCTGCCAGCAACAGGGATGCCAGCAACTCTGGAGAGTGTTTGCATGATGTAATCTATTGTGGACTGTTGATTCAGCAGTAACTTTTCATGAGCAAGAGTCTGTGATTGTTAACTGAGGCATGATGTTTGCTATCTTTAAAAGGCTGTTTGCCTCTGGGCCCTCCTTCCCTCCCTCTTCCATTTCTGTCACCTTCTCCAACCTGCTGGCACTACCTCTTTAGCACCCCCGCATTTCCTCAGCATCTTCCTCTTGCTCTCTGCCTCTAGACCTGCCATATCCTATACGTCTCCATAGCTCCATACACAGGCCCCAAACCCTCCCCACCCCCCACCTCCTCCATTTATTCATATATAGGGTATTCATTGTTCAAAGAAAGGGAGTGGATAGAGGATCTGGTTTGTACACATTAAGTGTGTACTGACTGATAGAGAGCTAGGTAGATATTTCTCAAATTAAGTTCCAAAGACAAAATCCTAGAGGTTTGAGAGGTCCATGGGAATTTGGATAATAATAGCTAATAAATGTACTGAGCACTTACCATGTTCTAGGTGCTGTTTGAAATGCTTCACATATATTCATTCATTTAGTTTCACTCTAACCCTACAAAACAGATGCCCTTATCTCCATCAAATAGATGAGCAGCCACAGAAAGGTTGGGTCTTAGTCCAAGATTCTACAACTAGTAAATGTAGAGTGAGGACCCAAACCCAAGGAGTCTGGCTCCAGAGCTAATGATCTCAACCATTTTGCAGTACTGTCATCTGGGGCTTGATAGGGACTGGATGATGCAAGATGGCCTCGTGCATGTGCCTAGTACTGAGCTGGGGCTATTGGCCGTTGCTTCCTCCTTCATGTGGCCTTTCCAGCAAGATACTCCAGACTTCTTTATATGGCAGTTGAATTCCAAGCTGGCAAACGTCCTGTGGAAAATTACCTTGATGCAATGGCAGCCTCCAAGTATACCAGCAGACAGGTTGTACCACAGGTCATGGAACAGATAGGAGTATAGACCAAATTAAGATGCTTAAATCACATCGTTTATGTGGCAGCTTAAAACATATTTCCAAATTCTTTGGCATTGCTCCCATTGAAAGGTGGGGGTTTATATCCCCTTCTTTTGAATCTGGGCTGGCCTTCATGGCTTGCTGGTAACTGGTAGAATACATTGGAAATGATGCTATATGACTTCTTAGGCTAAGTCAGAAAAGGCCATGAGGCTGGTTCTTTTTAGACACTTGCTTTGAGGGTAGCCAGGTGCCATGTGAGAATCTGCCAGGCTGGAGGGGCTGTAGGAAGGTTCTCTGGTTCACAGCCCCAGTTGAGCTTCCAGCCAGCCAACAGCCAGCATCGACTGTCAGCCGCATGAGTGCGCCATCTTGGATGTCCAGCCCAGCAGCTGCAGTTGACATCTGATAAGAGACTCCAACAAAGAACTGCCCACGCAAGCCCTTCCCAAGTTTCCGAGCCACAATATCATGAGCAAAATAAACTAGGTATTTAAGCCACTAAGTCTGGAATAACATATTCACTCAAAGAGCAGCAATAGTAAGTAACACAGTTTATCAACTAATTTAGAACAGAATGAGAAGCAAGAAAAAAGAGATGGGGTAGATAAACAAGCTCAGGATAGGGTATTAGCAGTGGGGAAGGACCATATTACCTAAATTTTGTTCTATGTAATGTTCATACGTCCTAATTCTCTCTGTTGTGTCAGTCTTTTCTGCAGATGGTGTAGTTTTAAGGACCAGAGTGGAGAGTAAGTGAGGGGGAGCTGGCAGATTGAAGGAGCCTGGAACCAATATACATGCGTTCTGTCAAAGACGTAGGGACAAATGTGTCTAGTCATAACTGTGTCAAGCCACTAGCTGACTGAGTAGCTACGGGTTTATCTGCTTTTCTTGTGCAGAGACTGCGTAAGGTCATAATGGGGCTATAATGGGTGTCACTAGTATGTGGCCAATTAGGGATGATATTGTTGTCAGACTAGAAGTGGTATGATTCACGCCTTATTAATATTTAAAGTTCACTTGGTCTCCTTCTATCTAAAGTAGCACTTCCATTTCTTCCATTCATTTTACCTATGTTCAACACATATCCATTTATTTTATGTATAACGTGTCTCATAAGCAAATTGTGTCTACATTTTAGTTTCTTCTATTTTCTACAGCCGAACTGAATATTCACAAATCATACAGCAAACACATTACAGCAAGCCCTAACGAGCGAGCACTTATCAGATCAGGTTTGTGATGTCCCACTAATTGGCTAAATCAAGTCACATGGCCAAGCCCACAGTCAGTGTGGCATAGGTCTATACAAGGGAGCGGACACCATAAGGCATGATTCACTGGGGCCAGTACTATAATCATCTACCACTAACGCCTAGCTAGGAAATGGTTGACCTAGTTATCAAACTTTCAGCAATGTTTCTGGAGCCCCCACACAAAACTGGTGTCTAAACGACTGTTGGGACAGGGTTCTTAGTGAGGAGCTTTTCCAAGCCTTACATCCCAGGCCCTACCCCAAACCCAAATGAGTCAGAAATACTTGGGAGTAAGAGATATAGGGGAGAGGGTGTTGGTAATCCCAAGAACTTGGGACTGATATAACTCTGCAGAGGATTCCAGCACACACTGGGGTGTAAAGTGTTTCAAAGATAAGAAAGACACAGTCTCTACTCTCAAAGGACTTGCCGTTTCCACAAAATGCCTTCTTGTCATTAAACACCAGAGGCATTGCTTTCAAATTAAAAAAATAATGGTTTTCCATGTTTCTTTAAGTTAGAGCAGTGGTTCTCAAACTTTTGTGTGCATCAGTATTACCTGGAGGGCTTGTTAAAACAGAGGACTGGGCCTGACTCCCAGTTTCTGATTCAGGAGGTCTGGGTGGAGCACATGAATTTGCATATCTAACAAGATCTGCTGTCCTGGTACCATACTTTGAGAACCACTGAGTTAGGCCAGTAGGAGGATTTAGTGATAACATTCTTCTCTTGACTCACATTTATATATTGCACTTACACGTTTGTAGCACATCTGCAACATAGAAGGTCTTGGACTGGGTGCAGCGGTGGATATGATAAGGATAGGATTAAGATCTTGATTACACTTGAGCAGATTTAGTCTCTAAGTGGATCTGTTCTCTAAGACAGGAAGCCTAAGTCATTAGACAGGTTCAGATGAAGCCGAGATCTCTCCTTTAGGAAAAGAGAAAGGAAAGTTTTGGAGTAGGAGACTCTATGAGCTGGGCCTTGAAAGATGCTTAGGACCTGGACATGTGGAAATAGTGGAGAACAGCGGAATTCCTTCTGTTTTGGCATAGAGCAAACAAACAGACTAACCTTAACAAACACCCGGAAAAGGTCTGTGACATTCTTGCCTCCAGCATAACAACCTGCAACCTGCTGGCATCAGAACTAGGAAGGGTGTTCTCGGGGTCAGGGTCTGTCTCAAACCCTTCTTGGGGAAGGGTAGGCCTGGCCTCGCCCAATCTTTGGAGCTCCCAGAGCGGGAGCCCCAGAGACCTGAATGTCTGGGTCAGGTCACGGTGGATGCCGACTTGGCAAAGAGCACGGCTCGGACGCTTCAATCTCCAAAAGCCTGAGTAGGGTGCTGTGACCCCGCGAGGTTCGGAGCCGTAGCGCGGCTCTCCGGAGCGGCCTGGCTGGCATCCGTTTGGTCCGTGCCGAGCGAGGGAGCCCGCACGCTGGGGCACCGTTCTGTTGGAGCCGCAGATTTAGGCATGGCATTAAGGTGGGCTGGGTGATAGTTTCACTACCCCGCGGATTGAGGGGTTCAAAGCCCTTCCTCGCTATTCCTTCCGCTGGACTTAAAGGTGGCGGATGCCAGTACAAAGGGTGCGGCGCCCGCTCTGCCTCCATTCCCATGCACACTGGAAGGGATGCGGTCGAGTCTACACAGGAGGGAACGCGGCCCGCCAGCCTGCAGCCTGCGCCTGCGCGGCCCCGCCCCCGCACCGCCCCTTTTCTTTGCCCCGCCCTGTTACCCCTAGTACCGCCGCTAGGGGTAGCGGCGGCGGCGGCTGCGGCCTGAGAGCGCGGCCGCTTTGAGGGCGCGGAAGCCGTGCTGAGCGGGGACTAGGGCAGGCAAGAGGGTGGGAAAACCGGCAGGAGCGAAGGGCGGCGCCGGTGGAGGGCGGCGCGTGGCTGACTCATCCCTTTGGAAGCGCCGACCGAGAGACACAAACCCTCCCCGAGCCCGCCCGCCCGCGCCGCTCCTCCTCAACCCGGAGGCGCCCTCCCGCGCCTCTCGCCGGTCCTCTCCGGGAGCTCTCCCGGCCCGGCCGCCTCAAAGTTTTTGTCGTCGGAGAGACCGGAGCCGCCGCGGGCCTTTCGGAAGGGAACAGGGACGCAAAACGAGGCGAGAGCGGTCTGGGCCCGCGGAGTGCATGGTGCCCGGCGCCTCGGCTGCCCGTCAGGAGGACAGCGGGGTGGGGTCGGCTGAGCCCTGCTCGTTCTAGCCTCGGCCTCCCCAGAGATCGCCCTCCCAGACTGCCGCGGGGGTCCCCGCGCCCCAGCCCGCCATGTCCCGGCTTCTGCCGCTGCTGAGGAGCCGGACCGCGCGCAGCCTGAGGCCGGGCCCGGCCGCCGCCGCCGCCGCCGCCCCCCGCGCGCCGTCCTGGTGCTGCTGCGGGCGGGGGCTGCTGGAGCTCGCGTTCCCTGGCGCCCCCCCCGGCGGCCCCCGGGGGCTGGGCACGCACCCCAAGAAGGAGCCCATGGAGGCGCTGAACACAGCGCAGGGCGCGCGCGACTTCATCTACAGCCTGCACTCCACCGAGAGGAGCTGCCTGCTCAAGGAGCTGCACCGCTTCGAGTCCATTGCCATCGCCCAGGGTAAGGGGGCGGGTGGGGGCAGCGCCCGGGGGCCCCTCTCCCTCCCCTCTTCCCGCCTGCCCCCAGGAGCCCTGCTGCTCCTCGGCCTGGGGCCCCCCGCCCCTCTCACCCGCCGGGCCCCGCGCCTGGGACGTCCGAGGGGGTGGGTTGGGCGGGGGCCGTGGGGGGGAACTTTCCACCTCCTGAGCGTCCCCGGGGCAGGTAGGACAGGAGCCGATCTTGCCAAGTGTGCCGGGGCCAACGCTTGGCTGATTCCTCCTCCCCAGCCTCGGGAGCCCGAGCTTCAAGCCCACATTGCCGAACGATCCTGTTTTGATTTTGTTTTGATTTGCTGTGCGCCTCCCCTCCCCGCCCCTCGCGTCCCAGAGCCCTCGCTGCTTTCCCGCGAAGGTGCAGCCGTGCAGGTGGCAAGCCGTGCCTCCTCCGAAAGTGCTACGCACCCGAGAGGCAAGAAGAAACTTTCTTGAACGGTTAAGAGGCAAAGATGCAGGGGTGTCCCAAAAGGGATGGTGCTTCGTAAGGCAGAGCGAGCCTCGTCTGCTGCTGCTTGGCACACACATCTAGTTGTATTATTGGGAGCAGCCTAAGGAAACGTTTTCCTGGGAAATGGAAAGAATGGATCAAACCAACAATTACTGATACATACTTGCGAGCCCATGGAGGCTCACGGCTGCGCTAGCTCAAACTCCAGTTTTTGTTGTTTCCCCAGAGGTTGAAAGAATGAAGTCAGTAAGGTGTTTTTCCGTGACTCTGTGGCTGTACAAGGAAAAGCAGACTTCTGTTCAAAAATAATTGGGAACGTTGAAAGCAAAGCTATTTTTAAGCTAACATGTTAAAATGTGATATTTTTAAAACGAGTGCAGAATGCTGGTAGGTCAGAATATGAGTCCATTGGAAAAGCTAAAAATTCAGAAAATCGAAAGGGTGAAAGGAGCAAAAGATGAAATGTTTCAGCGTTAAAGTATTTTTACCATTTCAATACGGCAATACAGGCAGAATACATTGCTACTATTTTGTATTGCATTCTGATGCAATTGAAAGTTAAAAGTTTACTCCCCTCTCCCCAAGTCGGTAGGCACATAAACATCGTGTAGACTCCTTGTGTTTAAGAGCACATTGATTTAGAACATGGCATTTGCTTTGCCAAAGGCACTTGAAGATGATTTTTTTTTTTTTTTTTTGGTCCATGTACAAGAATGGAGGAAGGATTTACCTACCTCATGTAAGCATGAGTTACTTCCGGAAACTTTGTATTAGGTGTGCCTTTTAACCGCTTTCCTTTTTTCTCAGTTCAGGGAATTGAGAACCAATTTATAGTATTGGATGATTCAAGACATTGTCTACCCACAGTGCTTGTACAGTGACATCGCAATCAATTCACTTATTAAATGTGTAATTATTATGTGTTGTATGAAGTCAGAATCATATTTATAAGCTATATACGCATGCAGTGTGAGGGTTTAAAACACTCAGCTCTGAAAATGAGCTCCTTGACAAACAATATAGACACTCATATGCTGAAGCATTAATTTTAGGAATCTCTCTCCATAGACAAGATTATTTGAACACACATTTGACCTTTTCTAAGTAATTTTGCATTAATATTATTACATGATTGGGGGGGCCGTATTAGTATAATTTATGACAATTCTTGAAGAGTGTGTGCTGCAATACAACTGGAAAAATTTTACCTCGTACCTTATTGTTTTAGCACATGCCAGCAGTATTGCTGTAGGGATGCTATAGTTTCCAATGAAGATAATATTTTAAAATTTAACATGGTTTTCAGTATTCTGGAAAGGACCTATAAACTTCAGTCAGTGGAGGTCAGTTACCATTAATTATACTTAATAAGTATGTAAGCTATATGAGAGAGAAGTTAGTAATTTGTCTTCTTTGTTCAAGATAAACAGGCAAGGATATAGGAAACAATATAGTTACATGCTCATTTCCTATTTAGAAGTTAAAGGACTTGAGGACTTAAATCAGCTATTTTTTTTGCCAGTGTTGATGTCCAAATTATTGCCCTTTGATTCAGATGACACTTAACTGATACTACTGCTTGCATTTTAATAGTCTTAGTGTGCCTTATTGTTTTCAATATCAATACATATAGTTACTGTGGAGATAACTGGAATCATCACTAGTAAATTACCTTACTCTTTAATGCATACAGCTCATTCCATTGCTGACATCAACATTTCCCCCACACACAAATGAAAAATTCCTGGTTTTCTTTTACTGTTCCTTTTTGAGTGTTTTTTAAATACCCAACTCGTGCTAAATGTATGTGCACTTAGTGCACTTTGTAATGAAATAAATTGTGTTAAAAGGGCTTTGTCTTATGGGAAATCTTAGGTGTTCTTGGAAAGGATGTTTGTATGATTTAATGAAGTATTTGGGATTTGGTGTGAAAACATTATAGGAAACAAAAATCATCGATGCTTTGATATAGCAGTGGCATCTACAGCTGAAATTTGATACTTTGCCCATATCTTTCTTATGTGTTTATTATTAGGCATGTGATAGAATCTGTGACAAGATAAAGCTTTAGAATCAATCTATAACAGATAAGGCAGACTTTGTGGGATGTCTTATCATAGCTACATAGGATATTGTGATTTTTAAATTACAAACTGATTTCCTCCCCAATTAAAAAAAAAATTGATGCCTTCTCAGCTTATCTGCTCAATCTGATCTCCTTCCATAAACAGTCCATAGTCTCCAGATAGTGCATTGTTGGTTCTTTGTTTTTACAAGCAGGACTGGGAAGCTGACATTACAGCTGCCTTTCAGTTTTAGCTAAGATTTTTAAAACAAATTTGTTTCCCAATCTTTGCAATTACTATTTCTATTTGTAATTATTTTTATAAACTTTTAAAATACGGCTATCCCTTGGTATCTGCTGGGGGTTATTTGTTCCAGGCCTCCAGCAGATATGAGAAAATCCGTGGATACTGAAGTCTCATATAAAATGATATAATATTTGCATATAACCTATACATACATATCCTCCCATATAGTTTATATAATCTCTAGATTACTTTTAATACCTAATACAATGTAAATGCTATGTAAATAGTTGTTATACTGTATTGTTTAGGGAATAAGAAAATAATGTTTGTATATGTTCTGTACAGACCTAACCATCTGAGACCTAACTACATAGTACGTGTCAGCAACAATGTAACATTTTTTCTAATATTTTTGATCTGCTTGAGTCCCTGGATGTGGAATCCAGATATGGAGGGCCAACTGTATGGTAATTTGGTTTTTGAAGAATGGGCAATGGCATTGCTCATTGGATTAGTTATACATTGCTGTATAACAAATTACCCCAAAACATAGTGGCTTAAAACAAACATGTATTGTCTCACAGTTTCTGAGGATCAGGAACCCTGGAGCAGCTTACTGGGATGTTCTGACTCAGGGTCTCTCATGAAGTTGTAATCAAGCTTTCAGCTGGAGCTGTACCACCTGAAATCTTGACCAGGGCTGGAGGATCCGTTTCCAAGAAGGCTCACTTACATGGCTGTTGGCTGGAAGTCCCATTTCCTTGCCCTGTGGGCCTCTCCACAGGGCTGCGTAAGTGTTCTCAAGACGTGGCAGCTGGCTTCCTGCAGAACCAGTGGTAAGAGACTGATGCTAAGCTGGAAGCCACAGTCTTTGATAACCCATCTTAGGAGAGATAGTCCACCTCTTTCGCCCTAGTATAGTGTGTGTGTGTGTGTGTGTGTGTGTGTGTGAGATACAGGTGTAAAACCAGGAGTAGAAAATCATTGGGTGCCATCTTAGCAGCTGCCCTCCACACTTATTTAAGGTATTGTAATTAATGTTCATTGGAGAATTACACAGAGAGATAAGAGCTGGCTTCTGGGGAAGCACAATGAAAAATCTGATTTGGAAAAAGGAGCTCCCTAGAGAATATTTTTGTTAAATGTGAGATTCTTTTAACGTAGCAAATAAGAGATGTATTCAGGTGAAAGGTGAACAGAGCAGTTTTTCTATTCATGTTAGATCTTAATTATTTTGCTCTTTTCTGTTTCTCAGTATGTGGTAAATGTGTAAATTTTAAATTTGTTTCTTTTTTCCCACCATTTATTTACATCCATATAAATACACAATATAATTCTAAACTATCATCTTGTAGTTCTCCACCTTTTGTGATTATGTATTTAAGGTAGAATGAGGAGATTCATTTTGAGAACTTACATTATAGCATGAGGGGCTTTTGGCAAAATGAAAAGCTGGAAGATAAAAAGCTGATATTAAAGTGGATACCTAAAATACTTAAATAAGATTTTTCATGGAATTCTGATCCAGTAGGGATCTTAGACTCTTAACAAGAGCATCCCCATTTTTCTCAGCCCATTGTTCAGGATTACAGGAGAAAGTAGCAACTCTGTTAAGCTCTTAACCTCTGGGGTGAATTGGAGATAATTTTGGCTTTTGTTCAAAGAGAATAAGAAAGGGCAAGAAAAACATTTCATAGTCTAAATTAAGATCTGTGAATAAAGATATTTCAGTGCCTTGGTTGAAATAGTAAAAGAGGAATAGGGAAGAGTAGCCCCAGCTACTCAGCAAGAGGAGAAGAGCCACAGTGAGGATATGACGTAGGCGTCGAGTCAGGACGCGTGAGAGGTCGCCACTGAGCTGAGAGCTTGGGCCTGGATAAGTTAAATGAAGCTTGCCACAGTCGATGATTTTACCTATATGGAAAGAACCTAATTATATCAGTATGTTCCAACAAGCTTAATTCTAAATACTTGAGAGTTACTGGGCATGTTGGAATGGCCCTATTACTAGGGATTACTGCTAGTAGAAAACAGGTAATGCAAATAAGGTTTTTTTAATTATAAAATGGATGTATGATATGTAACAGTCTTTAATTATCAATTACATATAACTTGATGTCGAGTTATTTGCACTTTAAAACAACAACCATTCTATTATAGCTCATGGTTTTGGGGATCAGGAATACAGGCAAGTTTAGGCTGGAT